GTGCAATTAACCTTCCGACTAACTCGCGATACGGAATACTCGTTTGACAAATGTTTCTGCCTCTGTTGAGAAATTATAATGAAACAAAAAGTCGAATATTTAATTTCGTAGTAGATGGTATTCAATTATCTCGCGAATAATCGTCTTACTGTTGGATTGCTTCTGTGCCACTTTGTACTTTCAATGGAATTATCGAACGTGTGAAACGTTGCACGAGAGAGAAATGAAAGTGCAAGGAATTGGAAAAAGCTTACAATACGATAGTGAGCACCAATTTTTATCCATGTAGGTTACAAGAGGAATAAAAGTGTATTCTCACGTTCAATTCATTCGTGTATTCAATTTTATATTTTTTAAAAATATCGAAAGGTTCTATTTCAAAAATCATTACGAAACTGAAAATGCAAAAATTATTTATGCACTAGAATTATTAGAAATATATCAGAGAAATTCTGATACAAAAATAAGAAATAAGAATATCAGATAGGAAGAAGTAGAAGAAACGAAGCGACGAAGCAAGCTTTTATTTTGCATTTTAAAGCATCTCTAAAAATAGTTACAAACCAGATACTACAAACTACACAGTTATTACGAATCCATAAAAATATGAAAGACCGGGGATTGGACAAAAACTTGTTATGAAACTTATTTACAGGAAATATAATATAATACTTCCAGATGCAACGAATTTGCATTTAGAACTTATTTCTTTACCTATATTTGCGTATGAGCATCCGCAAATCTTTATGCATTTATGTAAAAATGCATAGAAGCATGCACATATGTATAATGTATGCAGAAATATTTAATATGCTTTAATCACTGTGACGCGTAATTTAACAACGTCGACAGTGTAGATAGTTTCATCACGTTTGTCAACTAACAAACATTATTGGACAATACCTTCGCAAATTTACGAAATCAGTTTTAATTTGTCAATTTTTCTATTTCCCTTTTACGCGATGTCGCGATTTTAAATCTAATTTGAAACAGGGCGCGGGCGTTCTAAGACTCGCTCTAATCACGAGAGAACAACACGGTTACGCGTAAAAATTGAGCAAATTCTGCTTCGCGAAACTGGCACTGGTTCCATTTAATTCGACGTAACGTCCGTCATTGACGACACGATCTACTATAAATAGATTTTATCGTGAATAATCCTCTGGTGTCACGCGTAGTCATGTCGAGTTTGCCCGCTGCACGCGAGTGAAATATATTCCTGGCCACTTTGCTCCCCCGATAAATTCGTCTCGAATACCTCTCTCCGCGCGAACAGGATCTAAACTTTGCTGGTCGTTCGAGAAACGAGAGAGACGGTCATTAATAAGCGACCATCGAATCTTCGTTGATCCGTTTTACGTGGTTGAACGGCTTCGCGATCCTATGTTTCGTTAAAGAGATGTGGGTCACCCGTCTTTACTCGGTAATTAGGCTACGAAAACGTTCACCGCTCGGCAAGCAATACTCCAATGGATTTGTAGCAACGACATTTACAACGTGACCAAACTGTACGAGTCACCGATGAATTAACAATCGGAACATATCTCTCGTTGAAGTGATGAAATTAAATTGTACATCGAAGCATAGATTTACATTGCGCGTTAATCATTTTGGAGCTCTCTACAAATTCTCTTCAAATGCGACAGATATTTAAACGTAGCCAAAGTGTACAAGTGATCAATGAATTAGTAATTAGAAGTGAAAATTATTACTTCATTGTGAAATTCAATTGTATACTGAGGGATTTATTTTTAAATTATTATTAAATTTATTTTTAGTTATTATAAATTACATTTATTTAAAAAAAAAACTAGATATTAATACGACAAACATTTAATTTCTAAATATACATTTATTTTTTTTATTTTACAAAAATATATATATATACATATTTAGGTCATTTACTTTCCAGATAATTAAAATTATTAAAATAAATTAATTAATCCTGATAGGTGCAAAAGGTACAAGATAAATTTTACTTATTTATTTTTTAAAAAATCATTTTCATTGCTTTAAACTATAAATAATATTATTAATTTTTAATTATTACTAAAATAGTCATTAGTTTAGTTATTTGTTAACCATTTTGGAGCTCTCTACAAATTCTCTGCGACACACATAAGCGTGTAGTTATTGTACGATTACGACTTTATAGATATTAGAAGCTAGGTCAATCTTCAACTTAAACTCAATCTGAAAAACAACGTTTAATCTTTATCAATCCAATCGTATCATTCGTCGAAGAAGAGATATGACTGAAATTCAATGTAAAATGTAATACCCGGCCTCTGGGTCAATATTTAGCTTACGCTTGACCTGAATCAACTTTAAAAAGTATAAAATATATTATTCATCAGAGAAGGGATGTTTAACCTAAATTCAACCTGAAGCGTATATACTTGAAACGCCATATATCGTATAAGCGATGTAAAAAAAAGTCGATATTCAACATAGATTGAGGCAACTCTAAAAATTCTCGTATCGTTTGTTAAAAAAGGAATATTCAGCCCAACTTTAATACAAGATAGAATGCTCGCTTTAAAATAATTAACATCCAGCTCGATCTAAAACAGCCTCTATCATCAAGAGTCGTGAAAAATTACATAAACTATAGTAAGAGTGATCGAAATTACAAAAAATAATAGGATCTTCCAAAAAAAAAAAAAAAAAATTAACCCGAAAAAGTCAACAGAACAACAATAAAACTATACTATCGTTCTTCAAAAGGGAAATTATTCCACCTAAATTCTACGTGAAGAAATGATTCAAAAAGAAAATTTTTTTAAAGCTCTCGTTTTCGAGAAACTTGAGTTTGGAAAATGATCGGGCACACTTGCATTTCTAGACGTGATAGAAAAGAATAATTAACAAGAGATTACTCTACGAAAATAAGTAAAATAAAAAAATGTAGAATAAAATTTTTTTGTGGTAAAATGGTAAAGATTATAGGGAAACGAAAATTTCCTTGTGTCGATTGTTCACGCCATTAAGTAATTCAAATATACTCGATCAATATACAAATTCGACTTTCTAGAAAAAGAAGTCTTTAATAGAAGAATTGTCCAACCCGTGTTTTCACGTAAAAAAAATTATCTCCACCAGTTACGAGATATCCTCTTGTATGCAGAATCTACTATCTAAAAAATCACCTTCGATCTAAATTACCCCCGTGTGAGTCACAGAGCCTAGCTACGTACTCCAAAAAAGAAATATTCAATCTAAATTCGTCCACCCGGACCTAATTCAACGCTCTAAATTCTCCACTCTAAATAATCCAAGTTATAAACCAATAAAACTTAAATTAAATTAATAATTTAATTAATTAAACAATTAATAAATTAAAATTCTATCTTCTATCTACCAACAACAATAAGTAGTCAAAACTAAAGAAAGGATAATAAATTTTTTTCACTAAAATCCCTCATTTCCAAAAATCTCGAGTTTGAAAAAAACGATCGAGCATACTTCGATTTCTGAGACGTGACGGGTATTACTATCTACGTGCGAAAGTACAGTTTGAAAAATTTGTTTGCAAAATAGCAAAGATGAAAAATTTCATCTAACGCTTCTCGTTTATTTCTGCGCGGAGGGTATCGATTATCATCGTGTCGATTATTCACTAGGTGGCCAAGACTAGCCAAGAAGGCCAAAAAGGCGGCCAGACACCGTTGCTCCGTTCGCTTTCGCGGCTGACATCCCACCGAGGTGTGTAACACTCGTTGCCCCCTCCGTGGGCAAACTCTATATGCTACCTCCCCTCTCTCTTCGGGAAGCTGATTCTTCCGCGGGCAATGGCGATTGGCGACGCGTTCGGCTTAGTCGCGTGCCGAGACGCCGTGGAACGAGACCGTTTCTGGCGAGAGCTGGCTGCGTGGAACGCGGACGACGGACAACGAGAGACGAGATCGTCGAGCCAGGTCTTTGGATCCGGTCGCGTGATTTCGGCACGTAAAAACCACCAAGCCCGGAGGTTTCACCAACCTCGAAACGCGGCTGCGATTAATCACGCGATCCTCACCTCGGTCGCCGCTTCCTTTCCACCTCTCGGCCGAAACTCGAAAGTGTATATATCAATCGCCGAGCCGCGAGCCTTGTGATCTGTGATCCAATTGTGCGGTATCGAGTTTTGGAACCTTTTTGTTTTTTTTTTTTTTTTTTTTTTTAGTCGATCGAAGAAGATGGGGAAGAGATCCACACACGCGTTGTAGTGTCTTGTGGTGCTCGTTCGGTGCTCTTTCCGAGGAGAAAAGTCTTCAAATTCATTTACATATCGTTTGTTTTATGATCGAAGGTTCGCGCGTTATTTCGCCTGGCGATATATGTGGTGAGTTTGAAAGGAACATTCGATTGAAGAGGATTCACGAGAAGAAAGGTCGTTTCGACCAAAGTTTTCTTCGTTGAGAAGATTTTTAAATTAATTTAACAGACGCGTTACAGTGTCTTCGCTTCTCGCAAGTGTCGTTTGACGGGCTCAAGCGTTGTGAATCGACCCGAAGTTAGCGAAATTCTAGACTGATTGCTCGACAAGGAGAGACCACTAGCTCGGGAACCTTGAAGCAAGTAAAATCACCAACGGTGTATGACACAAGCAGACTTTTTCGGTCTTCCAGAGCAACTCTACGGACCAAGCTCAAAAAACAGATTTCAAAAGACAACGATCGAGTGAAAATTAAATCAATTTTAAATCGGTGAAAATTCAGATTTTCGAATGACCTTCGTTATTTTTGGACAAAGATAATTCTCGAATAATAATCGGGTAGAAATCGAAATAAACTAGACCACAAAAGACAACATTCAAGTGTGCGAACCACCGTTACTAGACAAAAGATACACTGTCTCGAAATTATCAATTGCCTTTTGTTCCGAAATTGTAATATTTTCTCAGTTTTAAGTATATTTATTAGTAAAACGAAATAGGAGGCGAAACAAATAATAAATTTATTACTTCTCAATCATTTCTATCCAGTGATATCATACCGACGAGTTCAAAAAGAAAGCGATCCGGTCACTCGTTATGGTCTGCAATCAGTTGCCAGCGCAAGTGGTTGAAAAGATTTACAGTAAAATCTCGCAAAATCTAATTATTAATAATCAAAAAAGTTGGAATAGGCATTAGCGAACGTTTCGCGAGATAAAAATTTCTATATCACCAAACAGTCTCCGGGTCAGGCCATTGTTGTTAGACAATGGACAGCATCTAGAAGCCATCAGGTGTCTGCGAAAGGATACGCGTGACCTGTGATACCACTTTCTTTGCCAGTCCCTCTGAATCGTTGAAAAACCGTTGAAAAATCGATCATCTCGAACTTCGGTTACCCACGTTCGAGAGCTGCAACGAAACAACAGAACAAAGAACAATGCCGGTGCGATCGCGTGATCACGGCACGTAAGGCTGACAGATCTCTCGAAAATCATTGGGGATTCGTGGCACGTGGCGATTCGCATTCGTACGAGCAGCGAGTGCTCGCGAGTGTATCGACGAGGCGTGTGGCTTCGGCGTTGTTCCCGCTTGCTGGACAAGTGACGTGATAGTTCGTGAATCGTCGCGAGCCACCTGGTTCTTCTGGAACTCTTGACGTGGAAAATCGTCAAAATCCCGGGGCACGCTTCTCTGATGACCCACGCGCTAAAACCTTGACACGCTGTTTAATATTAGTTGTTGGTGACCTTCCAAATAGCTTCAGGCTCTTGGAATATTTGTAAACTACTTTACCGTGGCTACAGGCCTGACATTTACGTATCTATTCCTCGCGTTGATGAGAAAGAGACGCGACTATAATGGTAGTTGTATAAATACAGACTGTGTGGATGTTTGTTCGAATTAAAGGGTGAAGAGAAACTCACACAACGAAGCGCGTTACAAACGTTTGGCGGTTTTGTTTCTCTGTGTTGGTGCGGTGTGTGGATCTTGAAAGTGGATCCGACGTGTTATAATGGCACCGGCTGCTACGTTAGACTGGTCCGAGCCCTGCCAGCACTGGCGATATCCGAAATTCTGCCCGTCTGGCCAACAGAAGCATGAGAGAGCGAAGAGCGCGATGGAATTGAGCAGCAAAGAAGCGAACACCGCGTACAAAAAGTTCTGCAAGTTCCTCCGTCGGCTGAAGCACAAGAAACGTAAGTTTTTCGTCTGGGAAAATCCGTTCTCGAACGGAGAACGATCATTGGCCCCGAGGGTTAGGCCTCGGTTCTATTACGCGAGAAGAGTATCTTCTGTTTCACTTTCGAAAAGCTGAATCTTCTTTCTTCTATCCTTTCCCGTCTTTGCTCTTTCGGTCTTTTTTTTTTTGTTTTGTTTTTTGTTTTTGTTTTGTTTTTATCCTTTCGTGGAAATTAAAAGGAGATTCGCTGTTTGAGGTTTCGAAATACAGGTTTTTAATTACAGCGTATTTGAATCGTGTCGAGACATTGGTAATCCTAGTTTGATTATTGCTATGCGAATCTTTGTCTCACAAACCAATTAAAATATTTGTAGGAAATTGAGGTTCAAAGTTCTTAATTACGGTATTTGAATCGGGACGTTAATAAATCTTTCGTCCCGTAGAAATTATCAGTCGAAATCTCTCTGTTCGAGATTCGGAAATTATAATTAGCACGTTTTCAGATTCTTGTCTTACGAGAATTGTACGAAATCTTCTTGTTTAAAGTGTAACATTTTTATATTCTCCGGTCGTTTCGACATAATATATTTGCGATCTGTGGATTTTAAAATTTTCTTTTATAAGAATTGACAAAAATTCCATTACTCGAGACTTGGAATCTATAATTGGAGCAACTTCGAATTGGAAGATCTCGGTTTGAATACGGACAATTTCGATCTGTTAATTATTCTTGAAGTCATTGATGATTAACTCGGTCGATCGGATCCGTAGGCGTAATATATTCACTGTTTCGGCCAAGTTTGACTGCTCTTTAATCTCGACTTGTACACTAGTAGTCGGAATATTTTAAAGTATAATGAACCTAGGCATTATCGTTAAATTATTCAACGCCGGTGGATTATTCTTGCTTTTCAAACATGTCAATCGCTCCAACGCGAGTCGACGCTATTCTCGACTTTCGATGAAACGGGATGCATCCTAACAGTCTCGCGTAAATTCACAAATTTATCAAGAAGCAGACGTTTCAATAAGTGGAAACAAACATTTAAAAGAGAACACTTCGAAATTGACTTGATACATGCTGTTACTATATTTTTACTTTGAAATATAATGTAACATATTTCATGTTACACGACCAAAGAATGAAAGATACGATAGAATTTGAAACTGTTACATTTTGTAAAAATTCTAATTAGACATTCAACTTATTTTTTGACGATAAAGAAATTCTAAGCCTGCTAAATCTCTTAATTGTCGCAATGACTTTTACCGTCAAGAAAATGAGAAAACGGTGACGCACGTTCTCTCTAATAAGAAGACGTTTTATTAACTTGTTTTGTTAAACAAAACCTTTACTGGCGCTTTGAAAAATTGAAAAAAAAAAAAAAAAAAAAGGAGGCGACGGTCTGCCATTTGAGCGGGAAAGGTTAGAAAAACGCAAGACGGATGGGCAAAGAAAGAAAAACTGTTCGACGAGAAGTAATATACCGACCCACTGACATTTATCCCTTGTTATTCATATTTATTTTCGTTATACACGCCGACCCTCAGAAATTATTTTCTCATATGTCAAAAGCTTTGCTACGTCAGCTTCGACGCGTTCACGACGAAGAAAAAGGAAGAGAAAAAAAGGAAAGCGGAGGTGAAGTGATTTAAATTTGCTCTCGATGTTATACATGCCGATCAATCCTTTATCCCCTTGTAGTTTGCCAAGGGTTTCTCAACCTTTGTGCAATTAACTCTTCCTCTCTCTCTCTCTTCGCTGAATTTTCATCTTTATGCATTTTTTTTTTTTTTTTTTTTTGGAAAATGTGCACCGTTCACGTGATACGTAAAGATATGTGAAATATCCGAAATATACTGCTCTTTGCAATATTATTTTATTTAAATATAATACATATTGTTCTCTGTAATATTTACAATTTAATAACATTTATATAATATTTATGTAATATTTACAATTTATCATTTAAAATAAATGCAACAATTACTTATTTATTCTTTATGTACTTGTGAAAAATTTCAAAGTGCGAAAATGCTCCTATTTCGTGCAGCGTGTAATAAAACATTGAAAATGATAATACCTAACAAGTAAAACAATTCGCTCTCGAGATAAGAATATTTATTACTTTTCGTGCATTTATAGAAAATTTGAAAGTGCATAAATGCACACAACATGCAAAAATATATAGATGAAACGTGTTCAAAGTATAATACTTCTTGCGATACTTAATAAGTAGAGCGATTTTCTACTTAGGTTTCGTTTTTTCTAATTATCTTATCGTAAAAATGTAAAATTGAACAAACATCCGCCAGTCTATCTGTTACATTTGATGCATATGAAATGTCGTCTTTCGAAATAAATCGTTAACCAATTCTTCTTAGAATGTTACATACTTGATCAATTTCTCACGCGATTTTATAACAGGTGCTCCTATAATAGATTGTTAATTTCAATACTCAGCAGTTGTTCAAGTGAAATAGTCACTGTTTCTGTCAAAATAATTTCACGAATTTAACTCCGGTTTCTAAAATAATTTTACCGTCTGGATGGAATAGAGGATGAACAAATCGAATCTAGTCGGAATGCACATAATTGTAAGTTGCAATTTTCATGGTACAATTTCTAAATTGCAGTTTTCGTACTGATTGTTCGTTATAGCCATTGACAAGGTTTCCATATTTTTATTGTAAATCTTTTCAATATTGCATACGCACAATTTACAGCAAATCTCTTCATTAACGTGATTGATATTCGACGAGAGCGTAAAACTTAATGGACACTTAATTTTAATTTAATTAATGGATTTAATTATGCAGGCGCTAATTTGAGATTAATCGTGATAGTATGTTTAATTATATCTTTCTCAATGCTCTGAACTATCGAAGGATAGTACTAGCAGCCAAAGTATTTCTTTCAATCATTTCTTACCCAGTATAATAAATATCTATGAACCTAGATCATTTTTTACCCAGTATAATAAATATCACGTGTCCTCCTCGTTTCGATTTTGTGTTTGAATTTGCTCTTTATTTACTAAAACGATATCAACGATTGAAGTAGAAAAATTCATTATCGTTAGGAAATGAAAAAAAAAATGGTGTGATAAAGTGATTTAAAAACTGCTTCGATCCCTTATCACACAAGGACGCGTGAAATCTCAGAAGCAGCGATCGTTTTTGCAGTCTTGCAAAAATCTTCGAGTTTGTTATCTTCGCGACTTTCGAATCACCGTCGTTGCTTTATCCGCGATTTTCGCAGCCGTATAATATTTAAACGACGTTCGACGACGCTTTCGCAACCGGGCATTGTCTCGTTCGATTCGCGTCAAAGGAGCTGCTATGCACGCCGATCTCGGCGCATTCTGTATATCGATTGTGTGAATATTTCAAGAGTTATGGAAAACTTCATCGACGCGATATTCTCCCGCGTTTCGAGAGTTTCGACTTTAGACGAACCTTGCCTCGAGTAGCCTTGTGCGAATGATTAATAAAAAAAGACTAGTCATTTTCTTGAAGATAATCTGACGCAACTTTTTCGTGCAACTTGGAGCAAAGTAGAATTTAAAAAAAAAGAGAGAAAAAAATTGATGAATAATCGTTGCAGTTTGTCGTTGAATCTTTGGAATTGTGTCGTCCACGATATAAAACAAGAAAAAAAAAAAAAAAAATAATGTCTCTCGAGGTGACTTTTGATTTCTAGTGAAAAAGGTCAGAAATACTTCACTCGAGTCTGTAGAATACGAGGACCATGGAATCGCAGAAATAATTTTGATCAGAAACTCGTTTAATCGCGCAGCGCGATGTGTCACCGTTTTATTTCCGCGACGATTCGCTGAAGCACACTTTCGTAAAAATCGCTCGCGTTGGCCGACTCGGGCTGAAATTAATGACGAAGCTAGAGTAGAAACGCACGTTTCAAACTGCGTCGCGGCATTGGTGCAACGTTGCTGATTCTCGAGTAACAAAATTTACTTTATAGACAAATTTATCCGCTGCATACGAAATTCGACGAGCTAGAAAAATCATACGACCGTTAAACGCATGATAATTAATATATATATATATATATATATATATATATATATACTATCGCAAAACTAACTGTGACCTGTGTAAAATTAAAAGAGCTGCTGGTTTCGAGCCAGAAGTTCTTTTTTTTTTCGACTCGTGGCTAGGTGGCAGAGGCCTGTTTATCAGCGCGGAGCCTGTGTCTCAAAGAAAACGCGATTATTCTACCCCGTGATCGTGCAGTCGCTCGAAACGATGCACCATTGAGCCGCGGAGGCTTGTGCATCGTCGTTGGTTGGCCGCAAAATGTCACATGGTTGTCGCTGCGGCGATACACGGCCAGGAAAAAGGTCGTGAATCCTCTGATGCGCGTGTAACGCGGTAAAAGGGTGGCTGACGTGCATCCGGATCCTTGGCTGCACTTTTTTGTCACACGCCGAATTTAGCCGGCTTTTGCCACAGATGGCCATTGCTTGACCCATTTTCTCGCGCTCCGCGTGTCCCTAGGCATCTCTTAACAAAAATTAAGGAATTCTAGTTACCTCGTGCTTCTGGGGAACCCTAGAAGTTAACCTCTTGCGCTGGAACGACGTGCCACGCGCGTCGAGAATTGTTTGTGAAATATTTCCCAATATTTTCTCAATTTTAAGTATATTTAAATGTAACCTAGACAAAACAAATTTATCACTTCTTAATAATTTCTATCCAATGATATCGATGTACCGACGAATTCAAAAATACGGCTCGGTCGCTCGTTATAGTCCGCAAACCAGTTGCTAGCGCAAGGGTAAGGTTAAATTCGAAAACAGAGTTAATTCTAGGTACTTGGCTCTAGGAATGAATCGTGTCAAAATTGGAAAACTGTGTACGTTAATTTCAAATACTTTGATACGTGTGTAATTTGCATGTGTAAGATAGTACGACAGTATTTAAGTAACAGTTTGTAGTAAAGTAACAGTGATGGTGTAAAAATTGATATATAATATTGATATAGCATCGCTGTTTTCGAGCATTAATGGTAATGCTTCGCACCTCTACTTGGCCGACACTTCGGTCAACTTGTTTGCGAGATGGAACTTCACGGTCTAATTAGGAGTTTGGTGCCGCTTTGAAATAACCATTCGCCGTTTCGCGAGTTTCGGAGATGAGCAAGTTGTCAGAAGTTTCGTTAGAACCAAGGTTAGGATACTTGTGTATATATATACATACACACACACATACCTGTACAATATCTGGTCCAAGGTCTGCAAAATTCCTATTGGCGATGGGACTAATCTTGGATCAACCTTCTGGGTACTTTGTCTTTTAAATCACAGCCGAGATATTCCCAGCCACCATACTCAAATCTCGAGTTTTTCTATTATTAGCAGATATATCTAGTTATCTCTGTTAAATATAGCAGAGCAAGTTGTCTCCTGTAACTGAAATGTTCTACTTACTTTTTGATATTAAATTGCATGTGTCTAAACGAAGATCAAGGAAATTTATGTGGTTATCGAAGTATGTTATACCTATTTCTTTTAACTGCTGAATTTAATTTAATTTCTTGTATACGTAATACAATATAATCAGATGATAGAGTGAATACTTTCTTTATATCTAAATGGAATCTTTGATCTAGTATAATTATTACTTTGTTTAGATATTTAACAGTGCTATATTCTTCTTAGATGCTAGGTTATTTAACTTTTTGCAGCCAGGAAATTTTCTCAATATCCATATGTACTTGTTAATAATTACCAATGATTGGCGAAATTATTTGAGCATTTATTACAGAACACTTTTATTGATACGTTATGATTCTGAAAGATTCTTAACATTGTACCGAGCAATGGTTATCACGATAGTAATATTCGGAGCCAACATGTAAATGCACATAAAAGTTACTTATTTAATGCTTTTTGCTAGTTTAAAGATATTTATTGCAATCATATATTTAATAAAACGGCAGTCTAAAACTATGATCTATTCCGTGATCTTTACAAACTGCACGATTCTTCATAAACTGAAAGGCAGAAGTGATGATGTTGCAAACACTGTGTTTTAAATTTATCTCGAAGTAAGTGAACATTAACCGTGCATTTACGTAACAGAATAGAGAAATTGATAAACAGTAGTCGATCAGTCCGGTTTCAGAAAAGATTCAAGTACTTACGTCGAATATCTCGTAATCTCTGCGCGTATTCTGCAACATTTGCTTCAAACTGGACCAATGTAATCGCGACGATCTCGCAGCAATGTTAACGAAGTGTCAATCTGTTTTACATAACGCGCTTAATGCACTGGTAAAAAAAACAATTCTCATAAATATTCAAACATAACTTCAAGAACAACATATTTTTCTACGATCTCGTGACCTTCGTATTTCCTAGAAATCGCTCGATCTGAAGTTTCTTCAGCAACGATCGACCAACCGATCGTCCTGTTCGCCGTGAATCTGCTCCCACGTAAACGTGACGAATTTTCTACGCGTTCGTATTACCTTAAAAAAGAAAAAAGAAAAAGATTAAAATTCTGATATACCCCGCGTGGAAAAGAAATAATTGAAAGAGTACGTGCAACGATCCGGGAAGAGGCAAAGAAGCAAAACGATACCGAGGAGGAAGGAAAGGTTAACCGAAGATGTTGGCGGAATGTCAGGAAGTAAAGCACGGTGCACGTGGCATGTTATCGTTGGCTGCCTCTCGTTTTCGATCCATACGATCGCGACAGATTCATCGGCGTTTCCGTTACGGTGTCGGGCGAATTTTCGGTCCTGGTGTGTCGTGTTCAACAACGCGCCTGAATTATGGCGGCGCGAGGTTATTTTCAGCCGCGGTTCAATGAGAAAACCGGTCTGTAAACGTCGGGGCCTCGCATTATCCTACGTCGCATCTTATCAAGGTTATCCCTCTCACGCGCCAGCTGCCACATCCAGCAATAGAATAGAAGAATCGTCAATCGTCTAAGAATCCAATGTGTTGCAAACTGTAACGCTTTCCATTTCGTAGCTCTTTCCATCTGGCTGTGTCTGTATTGTCACGTACGTGTGTGTGCGGGATGAGGTGGTTTTGTTCACGTAGGTAAAATGGTTTTTCTTTTCTTAATCGCGATACGTTTCACACGTTTTCATCGACGACAGCCTTGTGATTTGAAAGTAAAGAGAGTATATCTCTCGAGTTAGAATAGGCAGTTTGAAATTTCGCACGGTGGTGTAAATTGAATCCAGAATTGATTGACTCTTTGCGGTTCGAGTATTTTAGTAATAACGATTTATATAACGAGTCACAGTGGATAATAAAAAAATTGATGAAGGACTAGTTGTAGATTGTAGACTTTCTTCTGGATTTTTGTGTCGAATAGGAAAGTTGGATTATTTCTGAAAATTGTTTCAAATTCAATCGTGATAATTCTCGACTCGTAAGATTTTATTCGATATTAGCCACAAGAGCTGATATTATTATTCTCAGGACGAGTATTGAAATTATTTAACGATACAAAAGGAATTCTTTAAAAAGTTCACAAAATCTCTGAAACATGGTTCACCGCCATCGACAGTCAAACACAGTTCTAAGTGCTTCGAGTCTCAGCCTGACCCAAATTGTTTCACTTTGTACTATGTACAGTAATAAAGTTGCTTCGATTTTTATTTCTTGGACGAACGAGGTACGATCAAAACGGTGGCGAGGTTGAAGCATGAAAATGCGCGGGAAGATCGTTTGGTCCTCGACGAGGCGAATGATGATCGTCGAGAAGAGGCCGCCGATCGTAACTTTTCCGCAATAAAACCGAATAGGCTATATCGTGCTATTTCGGATGGTTCGCGCTATTTTCACAACGTGCCACGGCTATTTCAGCTGTACACAACTTGTTCGATTCTGACCGTGTTGTGTTTCACATTCTTTCGCGTCTGATTGCGTGTGGACGGTTCTCGAAATTGTTTTCAAGTTTGAGGCCAGAGTAGTACTATATATCGAAAATCGATACAAGTGTAGCGAAACAGAAGAATCTACATTTGTATCTTTAATCCCTTCGTTGAATTTTTTTTGCTTGAAAAAGAAACAGCATTTTTCTATTTTATTTTACAATATACAAATTTATAAATTAATATTGTGTTGTATTGTATTAAATGTAACATAATAATTATAATAATAAATATTACATATTAAATACTATATTTATTAGAAATTCAATAAAAAGATCTATATTCATTTTGAATATAGATGTATAACATTTGCTTTACGTTATACAAATTAGGCTGATTATACAAAAATACAGATATGTTCATAATTTTATATCTCACAAGACACATATCAGGTTCACTTTATCGTCGGTCATTTTCTTCTCATAAAAAAAAAGAAAATTCAGTCGTTCTCTGTTTGAAAAATTTACACGCCAAGAGCTTTAAACTATCGAAACTTTTCTAAACACAAGTGTTTACTAAATTGAAATCAGTCAATGAATTTCCTGGTACCACCAGTCGCCAGGTTATTAATGAATCCTGTGGCAGTCAACGTGTTAGGCAATAATACTCATCTCATAAAGCATTTCATAAAATCTTCAGAAAGTCGAATCAATGAGCACAATGAATCCCTACCCTTTCGTGGAGTTATCAACTATCTCACCTTTCTCTCGTCTCTTTCTTTTTCTTTTCTTTTTTTTCTCTCTCTCTCTCTTTCTCTCTTTTCTACGATTCCAAATCGTAACCTATACCTTTCCTACTTTACCATTCTGGTTTTTCGATTGTTTCTATGGGCGGTGTGATGTATAATGCAGATAGAGATGGCAACAAAGTGACAACAGTGGTGGCTACGCCTGGTGCTGGTCCAGATCGTCCGCAAGAGATCTCCTACACAGACACTAAAGTAATCGGTAACGGCAGCTTCGGCGTTGTGTACCTAGCGAAACTATGTGACACAGAGGAACTGGTCGCCATCAAGAAAGTTCTCCAAGATAAACGATTCAAGGTAAGAGGAACATGGATTTTCTTGACGTTTAAAATTTACAGATTGAGCCCACTGCGATTGTGGGACAGGCACGTTTCTGAATCGAGTTGTACAATTTCAGATGATCGATTTACTATAATTTAAAGTAATTTAAATATTTATAAAATCATTTAGAGTAATTAAATTTTTACTATAAACTATAATTTAGAGTAATATATATATATATATTATTTTACTTTTCATTTCGTTATATCAGCTTTGAAAATGATAAAAAGGCAGCAAAGATACGTAATTGATGATATTGAGAGTTAACGAGTTTTACAAATTTCACGAGTTTTATTTTTAATCGAAACGTAGAGACAGCTTGTGATCAGATTATAGAACTATCGAGAGAGAAAAATAAGAAACGACCTATCATTGTAACACAGTATTTCAAGCGACATCCGCAGATTAGCGAAAAGAAAATATCCTCTGCAAAGGGTTAATCTTTAGTCTAATTTCTTGTTCGCCGCTGTGATGATGAGAATTAAAAGTTATTAAGTCAATAATTTACTTGATAGATACAATTAAAAGTACGGTAATCGATATTGCGCGTAAAAATAGTTTTAAGTTAAAACTAGTTCAATAAGAAGTTTCAATTGGAATTAGTAAGTTATAATTGAAGACTTGCGGGGCGAGTTCATCTAGTCTAAAAAGCGATCTAATTGTAAATCACGAAGGCACTTGCAAGAAACGTAAAGTATCGAAGTAATAACATAGATCGTTTAATATTCGTAATTTACTATAGAATGCATTGAAATATTTAAAAAATTAAAAATGTAATGGTATTGATAATTGGATAAACGCGCGAATCAGAAAGAAGTTACGCTTGTCTTGTGACTTGACTCGTCACAATCGTAAATATTTTTTTTTTTGATAAAAAGAATCATTCCGTATTAAAGATATTTCAAACGAAACGCCTCTTAAATTAATTACGTTATAATTCTATCATTGAATAGCGAAAGAAATAGAAATAGAAATAAATTTTAATTAAACATAGTGAAACGTAGCAAGGGAGATTCATAACGAATGATTTAATTATTTAAAGTAACTGTATTTTTTTATTCGTGAAGTTTAATTAATCATGAAATTTAAACGTACAATTGCAGATGATAAATTCGCTGATCCTTTATTCCTGACTCACAGCTCAAAGTTACGAAATAATGTTCAACTTGGGATTACAGTTCGTCCGATAATGCTAGTCATCGTTCATACCTGGACTTTAACGATCGGATTGACCAATTTGTATTTCACTCCAGCAGAAAATTAGTAGAAATTATAGTGCAGAGAAGAGACGAAGGTCCGGATAGAACAGATGGATCCTTCTTCTCCCAGGTGGAAATACACAGGCTTGATCAAAACTAGGCGTCGTTTCCTAACGCGTATTATAGTAATCCCGCGATTCGAGGTAGCTGCAATTCAAAAACAACAGGGTAGGATCTGCGAGAGCACAGCCCTATACTTAAAACGACATTCTCGTTTTTTAAATCTTGGAATACATTTGCAAATTCTACGATATCCTTCTATTATCTGTATATTTTTGATTGAAAGTCGTAGAGGTGAAACAAAAACAGGAGAAAAAAATACGCAGAATGTTTGAGCAAATTGGTGCCATGGTATTTCGAAATAGCACGAGTTCTTTATTCAATTTACCTTTAATTCGTTTTTTTTTTTTTTTTTTTTTCCGGTGAACGATGTTTGAGCCACTTATATTTCGTAATAAATAAATAAAGATCGCAATCTATCAATCGTTTACCAAAATTTTACTCTCAGAGTCATTTGTATAGTTCAGTATATTAAATTCTACGTAAATTCTTTATATTTCTTGCATATTAAAAAATATTTTGTATTCTTCAAATTTTATGACATTCTGCTGTTTTTAGTGGTATCTATTTTTGAAATGGGTTTTTCGAATGACGATCAACAAGACACTATCTTCCATATTGTCTGTAATATATATGTGTTCGTGTGATATTATGGTCGTCGAAAAATATCTGAAGGATGAAATTTGTATTTGGTTATTTTAAATTTTTAACCAATAAATAAGTAAATTGAATTATGGTTGGAAACAGTCATGCCAGTAATTCAATTCAATTAGTTTTGTCGTTCGATCCAACGCGATTGGATGATGTGTACTCACTTGTCGATGAAATTAGATTTATACCGCGAGATTCATAACGTTTGAAAAACGTTAATCCGCGACCTTGATCTGCGTGTATTAAATCTGAAACGACAGCAACAACAATTTTAATTAAAGATAAGAGAAAACGCGAATTAATCGTATTTTTCCTTCGTTTTATTTATAGAACAGAGAGTTGCAAATTATGCGGCGTCTCGAGCATTGCAACATCGTGAAACTGAAATACTTCTTCTACTCCAGTGGTGATAAGGTAACTATTTGCCATACGGCTTTCCCTAAACGATAATTCCGTACACTTCGATTGAAATTGTCAAACTTGTAACTGATTGTTGTCGAGCGATATTATATCGTACGATCTAGCTCGTAAGAATGTCTGACTTTACACTTTCTCGAGCGTTCTTTGCGTTACGCAAGTCTTGTCCCTTGATTCTTTCTCTCTTTTATGTTTTTTTTTTTTCTTTTTCTTCTATTGTACTCACGATACGTGGTTATTTTCAAAAATACTGGAATAGTAACAAAATTTGAATATATAGCGAGGCTTTGTGTGATGTATAATAAGTGTGTTACAAAAATAAATTATAGAAAGCTATACCTTTGTATATTTTTTCTTTTTTTTTTCTTTTTTTTTCATAATTTTCGTATTCTATCCTCAAGTAATGAATATAAATAAAAATAAAATTGTTTATATTTGTATAATTATATGGTCGTTATATTTTATAAATAATCCATACAAATCTTTTGAATATTACCACTTGAACTAATGGCGATGCTTTGTTGCTACATTATAAATTTTTTAAAATCAATTTCACCGTGATGAAGTAACGATACAAGATGCAATCGTTGATGCAAACGCAGAAATAGATGTCCAAATAATAATTTCGAGGACTGAAGATATAAAATGTTTTTGTTACTGTTCGAATATCTTCGAAAGTAGCTGCAGCAGTAGAGCGATACTTTTGATTTCATTCGAATGAATACACAATGATACACGAAACGCCAAGTATTCGTTGTTAGTTTTAATGCATGCGACATTGTTGTGTTATTTTGTAGAACATCTTAAACGCAACTAATCCAGTTTTTCATGTGGACGTAAGTGAACAAGCGAGTACCCAGTAGTTTTGACGGAGAATCCTTTTTTTGAGAGAATCTAGGCAGTCCCGCTTACACATAGACAGATTAGCGACCAAAAGAAAATACGATAACATACGTTATCATTGTCTCAGCCAGTCGCGAAGACATCGTAGAACACTAAATCCGAAGTCTATAGCCTGAGTCAAAGAACTTCGTTGCTCAAGGCCGTCCAACCCCTACCATCGATCATGTTCAAAGCTGTCATCCCCACTCCTATCGGTCTATCAAACATCGATTACCACGTGTGTTGCAGTTCCAATTATTTTTGGAATTTTTTACCTTTCTAAATAGAATGATTTTACGAAGAAATACAGCGCTATGCGAGTGGCTTAGACTTTGCAATTAATTATATTTTTCTAAGAAATATTCCCGTATGATATTAATGAAACTAATTATGTTTAACGATAAATCTTATCGTAAATTTTTAAAAAGTAATTATATTTTATCATTGCATTCGTGATATTATTCGCTGATATTATTTTTAAATTTTTTAAGAAAAAAGAAAGAAGTCGACAATATGAGTAGGTTATTTGAAATAATAGAAGTAAATTAGAACATCAAATATTTAATAGTCATTCGACAAAGCAAGTTCACAGTAAATACAAATTATTCAGAATCGTGTCAACATTTTTCAAATAAAAATTTCCAACGATTAAAGTTACAAAATGAAATTAATTGTCAGAAAGTATTTTGAAAAGTGGCAACAGATTTAAAAGGATGTCGAATTTCCAGATAGTGAGAGTAGTCTAAGATTCTTCCATAGTACTGTACAATCTATAATCCCGCTGTTTTTGGTTTTTAACTTTTGGTAGTGGAGCGTACCCTTGAGTGACCGTGTTTTTGATTCAAGCTGCAGTAGCTAATGCAGCTTGACTAGTTCTAGAAAATAATGAATTACGTGTGTACAGTTCAAAGGTATCACGCACGTGAGTCGCCATGTAAAATTCATAGTTTGATCTCTGTGACGAAACGTGCTGCGCTAGGCAAAAGAATTTTGCTTTCGAGTTGCGTGTGCCTTTGAGACGGCACACCTTCTTGCATATGTTAATCGTATACTAACAATCGTTTTTGCGGATTTCTTTTAGAAGGACGAGGTTTATCTGAACCTAGTGCTGGAATACATACCTGAAACTGTGTATAAAGTCGCTCGGCATTATAACAAAAGCAAGCAGACCATACCAATCAATTTTATTAAGGTAACTTCAAACGATCATCTTTAAATTTCATCCTGGTTTCGTACAAATGAATGATACATTTTTTGAAGAAATTTCGCGAACAATCTTTCGAAGAAAGTTTGATCGTTATTTAAGTAATTTGATTTCAAGTGAACAAGAAACGTAGCGAGAAATTTGTTTGAATATTATTCTCTGAATGATAAAGTTTACATACTTCTAAATTCCTTGCATAAAGATATTCTTTCAGGTATTCTTTATTCCGTACTTAATAATTTCAAAGTATCTTTATCTCAGTCAGCCGTAATTTTCTTGATAAGGAAAAGCTCGTTTTCACAAGACACAAAATTACTTTACGTACAATTATCCACGATGATTCACAAACGTATTTGAACACTTTGAACTAATAATTTCTCCCGTATTTGATTCATCACAGTCATTACAGGTGAGACATTTTTAATCTTTTCAACAATGTAAATGTTCTTTCGTGTGCTTTCAGTTGTACATGTATCAACTGTTCCGCTCTCTGGCATATATCCACTCGCTAGGGATCTGTCACAGGGACATCAAGCCACAGAATTTACTCTTGGATCCAGAATCCGGCGTGTTGAAGCTCTGTGATTTTGGATCGGCTAAACACTTGGTCAAAGGAGAACCCAACGTGTCTTACATCTGTAGTCGTTACTATCGCGCGCCTGAATTGATCTTTGGTGCTATTGATTATACCACGAAAATCGGTACGGCCATTTATACAACATTTTTAGTTTCATCATTCTAATATTTATCATTAGCAAAACAGTATATGAACAACTTGAGAATAATAATAATTTAAACATAGGATATTAATACATTTTAATATTTATTACATCGTAGCTTCATCGTTTGTTTATATACTCTTTTTGTTCCTATTTAATCTTGTAGTATAATATATATAATCTGATATACGATATACAATCTGTTGTATCTTATTTGTATTTAATATTAAAATACACTGTCATACATTATTTGTAGTAATATTTCAATTTCTTTAATTTTGAACGATTGTTTTTGTTTTTCAACTGTTCATATACCATTTTTACTAATCTAAAATACTTAATTGTGAATATTTGCATATTTATAAGAAGATTTAAATTCCGTTTCTTTAGTCAGTGCTTATGAAAATATAAATTTGCATAAACATCCGTAGTCCATTTATTACATTAGAGATTGAAAGATTAGCTAGTAAAGCGTCAAGTCGATGTACGGCTGTAAATATAATAAAATAATAATAAATGATGTATAACGAAAGAGAAAATAAAAATAATTTATTATATAATTTTAACAAAAAAAAAAAAAAAATTGTTTCTTTCGTTTCTGTTTTGTGTAATTAAAAAGTTTTATTATGTTTGTAGATGTATGGAGCGCAGGATGCGTAGTAGCAGAATTATTGCTTGGTCAACCAATATTCCCTGGCGACAGTGGTGTGGATCAGCTGGTTGAGATCATCAAAGTGCTCGGCACACCTACACGAGACCAGATACGTGAGATGAACCCCAACTATACCGAGTTCAAATTCCCACAAATTAAGGCGCACCCGTGGCAAAAGGTACCCCATCATTCGATCTGCATACTCGTCACATTACGCACTGTCAGTGCGCAAAACGCAACACCGGTCGAGATAGTTTTTCGCGTACTTTTCGTAACTGCGTACGTGTTTTGACAATTTCGTGACTAACAGGGTAAAGTTGGTGAGATGGTATGCACTGGTTTGAATAAATTAAAATTTATATTTGCAATATTTGAAGTATTTATAACTTTCAAAATTTTATTCTCGTTGAAAGTATTACACCTTGGAGAGATGAAGATTCAATTTAAAATTTAAATATTTGACATCTGTTCAAATATGAATTTGAAATCAAAACGAAATTATTGTGAAATGGTATTGTTCGTATATTTAATTTTTAAAATTTTATTTTCATTAGAAATCATATCTTGGAGAAATAAAAATTTAATTTAAAATTGAGATATTTAAAGTTTAAGCAAATGTAAAGTTATCTTTAAAAGAAAGACTTGTTAAAAATAGAAAAAAAAGAGACATAGTATTTAAATCAGCGCATACTCTTCACTTTCCCTTCCAAGAGAAGCATTATGATTGGATTAATAAGATTCCTCGTGGCCACGTTGCATGAGAAAAATTGAAAAGAATTAACGAAGGAATTCTCGGAGAGTAAGACCTTGTTCCTCAGTCTCGTTCCTTCTAACTAAATGGTTTTGCTACACGACTCAATCCTAATCACATTCATCAACACATGGTTACTCGTGGTTACAGTTTATGCTTCAACGAATGAGTGGACTAAAGTGTTCCACGGAGCACCAAAAGATTAGAGTAAGTGGTCCCCTGTTGAAAAGGCAATATTTCTTTGTTATTTACTGGCTGGCAAATGTTCCTTTCTTTTTCTTTTATCTATGATTATTACTAACCAGTGTAACCAACATTTTCAGCGGTAAAAAAAAAAATAGACAATTAAGCGGAATATGATACTCGAATGTCACTAAATCGAACGGAGAAGCGACAAGCCCCGATGACTGAAAAAATACCATCTTCATTTCAATTCTTCGCATCACAAATCGCTCAACGTGCATCTTTTCTCAAACTCACGTGTAATATCCATTTTTCTATTTCTCATAATTATCTTCATCGTCATCATCATAATCTTCAATCATTCCTTTTTTTTTTTCGCTAACAAAGCAGGATTGGGAAAATTTTATTTGAAAAGTCATTTTATCTCGAATTCAAATCAAATAACTAATAAAATAATAAAGTAAATTCATTAAAGTAATCCCATTAGAAGGTGAAATTTATACAATAAAGCCAGAAATTATTTGAAAAATCATTTGTAGAAACAAATACAAAATGAAATGAAAAAGAAATTATTTTATTCGATAGCCAAGTAATCAAATAATTTTAGAGAAAAATCATTTTAAAAAATTCGTTATTCAAATAAACTAAGATAGGATTATTTCAACATCTAGTCAAATAAGATGATATGTTATTTCAAACTTCAAATTTTATTCAAATAAAATACAATCTCAAACCTGTAACAATGTCGCTAACATTTTAAATAGAAAAACAGAGTTTAATAATTCTAACATTAAAGAGAATTTCAAAGAAAGCTTGACGCTGATACGATAATTGTAACTTCTAAAATCTCGATGTATCACTTACTCTAATGTTCTGGTGGTGAACAAAAATATTTTCCAGTGTCTTACAAGAACAGTATGCATTGGTTATAGCGTTATTTTTCTTGTTTATTATTTTATTTTATTTTTATACATCGCAACGAGTGACGACAAGTTGTTCCTAAAACGGACATATTATGTTTGAGACCCAAATTTATTCTTTCATTTACTGTTTTATGTTTTTATGTCTTTATCGCATATGTTGTCGATATGCATCCTATTGTTTTTCATTGGTCATGTATTTTATTTATCGAACAATCTTCGTCTGTACGAATTATATTCTCTTCGTTTTGTCAAAAAAAAAGCGATGAACACCGGATGAATCTGGCTGAGCCTCAGACTTCCGATCGATAAACCTTTACGCTGGAACGAATACCAGAATAGAAGCATTTCATAACTACTAATACCGACAGTAATATACCTAATACACTGATCAATTTCACAAAAGTTTCAACTGAAACTTCCAATGAACATTCTCTTTTTTTTTTTTTTTCTTTTTCATTGCTTTCCGATAGAGAACTTCACTCTCTACAGTTTGTGTTGCTGTGCGATTTCCTGTAACTGAGGTGAAAAGTTTTGTCGAAATCTGAATTTTCACACAATTTAAAAATGAGTACAGATCGCGTGCGGACAAAACTTTTTGTCTCAAAGAATAATCTCCCCTCGCAAGGAGATCTACCAAGAGATGATACTCTCTTTCTTAACGAACCTTCGCTAAGAATTAATGTCAGGAAACAACGTCATCCGTAGACTTCTCCTCGTTAATCCACCGAGAATAAATTAACCACTGAAAATCGTGATTCAAAACGGAATCAGAAGGTAACAACGATGATGATTGCAGGTGTTCAGGGCACGCACACCCCCAGAAGCGATGGAGTTGGTCGCTGGACTTCTAGAGTACACGCCGTCAGGTCGAATCACGCCTTTGGAAGCGTGTGCTCATCCGTTCTTCGACGAACTTCGGGAACAGGGCACGCGACTGCCAAACGGCCGAGAGCTTCCCCCGTTGTTCAACTTTACCGAGTACGAGCTGCGAATTCAGCCGTCACTGAACTCGATCCTAAAGCCGAAGTACATGCAGACTTCGGAGAATCCTGGAGGCCAGTCGGAGCCGGTCGCGGGGAGTAGCGGTAACTCTAGTGATAATAACGTGAACACCAACACGCTGTCCACCTCGAAGAACACAGACCCCGGCCAGTCGAATATGGCTTAAGCGCTGCTTTCTATTTTTAACGTTTAATTAAACAACAGACGAGAAAACACGAGAGCGAGAGCGAGCGAGTGCGAGAGATAACGGAAGAGAGAGAGAGAGAGAGAGAGAGAGAAAGAGAGAGAGAGAGTAAAAGAGTGTATGCGCGCGCGACAGAGTGAGAAAGAAAGGAAACACTAAGAATTCACACGTGTTAGAAACTAGCCTTAAAATGAAACGAAAAAAGAAAAAAAAGAAAAAAGAAAAAAAATTCAAGTACGGTTGAGAGCAAGAGCGAGAGAGTAGGGGAAGAAGAAAACAAAAGGAACGGAAGAAAAACTCGATGTTCTTCTGAGGAGGATGTCTATAACATAAGTTACACGTGAGACACAAAGGAATCCCCCAAAACTGTAAATTTGTTTCAACGCGATGCAAATGGCGATACCGGCGTGGTATTTTAAGCTTTGTTCGCTTGAAACACAAACGACGAAATATTATTATAGAATTAACCCGAGACAATGGTCCCCCCCTTCGGACAGCCCGAGATTTTTCCCGAGCGAACGCTTGATTGCCACCTTAATGCCAAAAAAAAACAGCATGAAGAAAAAAGAAAAAAAGAAATTGAATTCAATGTATATATATTATAGGAACTGGCTCGTAACCTCTTTAAATGATAATCGCTGTAAGCAAAGAAAGAAACAAACAAAACGACAAAAAAATAATATTAATAATGAGCGCGAATTTTTTCTAGTTGAGGAAGAAACAAAACGATGTGTAATCTCTATCGTACACTGTGTCTAGGTAGCGCGTTAACGTCGCTTGCGTCGTCGTCATTTCATTCGAAAATACACACACCACACACATACACATACGTATACAGATACACAATCATGGCGGTTATTAAAGTGATCATCTGCTTCTTCGGGTTTTCAATGAATTTCGGGAGTCAAGCAGAAAGAGATCGTCAAACTTTCAGATTTCGTGAAGAAGCATTGGGTGGGGAACGTGCGAGGGGAACCGACGTTTCCTTTTGAATGCGTAACAACAAATGAAAGGGAACGAATGTGCATCGTTGTGTCGTATTTTCATTGCGTTCTCGCGAATAGGGAAATTATCACGCGGAGAATCTCACGATTAAACACATACACACACATACACATTAGTAATTTGCGTGCACAATCTGTATTTATCGTAAGACGAATTTCCGCGACGTGAGACATGCTACGTTACACGTTCAGCAGAAAAGAAAGAAGAGAACTGCGTATCTCGAGAGATTTTCGACGAGTAAGACGCGTAACGGAAGTTTCTAATCGTTGGAAATACGATAGCAGTGAGACACCATACATGTTACACACTCGTTCGTGCCTATTGTCAACCATGCTTGGACGATTCGAATCGCTATCATTTATTTAACGAATGAATGAATTAACTCGAGTATACTCTGTTCGTTTACGAATTCAATCGTCACGCGCCATTATCGTTGTATATTTCCGTCGTTAGACAATTTCGGCTTCACCGAACGATCTACTTTTCACATCACGCGACGAAACTCTACGCATCGAAGAGCGATTTTTTTCTTTCTTTAAATGCCCGAATAAATAATTTCTTTTTTTTTTTTTTATCTTTGGGACGCCTTAAATTTCGACAAGTTTCGAACGTCTTTTTCTTTTTTTTTTTTTTTTTTTTTTTTTTCCTTTTTTGTTTCTGTATCAATGTGTGAATGTACCAGGGCATCTGAGTTTCTTGATCCTGATCTATAAATCTCAAATTATTTTTTTTGTTTTTTATTTTATTTTTAATATTGTAACGACCGATAACGTTTCTGTAACATCGTATGATTTTCTGTGAATTCGTAACAAAATTTTTCGACTTTCAAACGGATAAAAGTTACTCGCGAACATAGCCGTTATGACATTTATATCTATCCGGTAGTCGCTTGAAGAATCGTAAGGTGAAGGGAAAAGTACTGTACAAAGAAAATTTGTATGTTATTGTACGTAAATTTCATTTCTCTGAAATGGTAACGAAACGAGAGAGAAAAGAAACCCTTGTGCAGCTGAATCTTTCAGGGCATGTCGCGCGTGACTTAGCTACCATTTTGCACGTTTCTACATATCATATCGCGTCGGAAGAAACCAGTAAAGGGAGGCTGCCGATGAAAGTTCATACTGAACGACTATTCAGTTCCCCCTCCCCCCCTTTTTTTTTTTTTTTTTTTTAAGAAAGGACGAACGATTAAGAGAACGAGGAAAACTAGGAAAAAAGGAGAGAAAATTAAATAGTAGACAGAAAAGAAGTGAGAGAGAAAGAATGTGGAAGGGAGTGTGAGTGGGAGAATGAAAGGAATAGCCAACGAATGAAAATGGGAGAGAAAGATATTCGTTTCAGAGTTTCTATGAACATTGATGCGAAATTACGTTTTTAAATGATCGATACGGTTTTCTTCGTTGCTCGAGTGGGATTAGGTTCATATGAGTTTGTCGATTTTTTTATTTTTCCTCGAGGAAGAAGCTTTTTGATACACAATTACGAAAAGAACGATGACAAGTCCTCGTGTTCTGAAGAACAATTTTTCCTTTATGTCCAAAAACAAAGAAGCAAATCAGGATGTTTGTCGAGATATGTACCCAACTTTTCAAATCTTATCAAATGGTGGTATTTTTCCATTGCTTATTCATGCATCATATTTATTAAGTCGGTGCAAAAATAATGGTTCTTTGTTTATGATCATACAATGTATTCTGTTTATAATTATACAATTTATTAACTTATTAATCTCAGAATTTTGATTTACGCGAAATCATCATTAACTTTCAAACAGTATCACGAGGTTACAAATGATTGTAGTAATTTACATTGTATTAAAAAAATTTAAGATGTTTAATCATCTTCTCTATTATACAGACTAGTAATAAGAATTCCAAAATTAAACAATATAAAAGCTAAATTTTCCCGGCTCTCAATGTGTTTCCAGTTTCTGGGATTCCGAAATTATTTGTAAAAATTTCAAGCGTACAACTGGCAATTTCATAGACACCATTATTTCTGCGTTTGCTTAATACTTTGCAAACCATCATATTTCTTTCTCCGTTGTAAGACAATGGATCCCTTCAAGACGTTTCAACAAGCTTGAGCAAATTCCACGAGCGTTAATTAATTTTCATTTACAATCGAAAAGAAGAAATAATTGCGAGTTTTTATGCATTTAATATACAAAAATATATGAAATACAGTACTTCCCATAATATTTGGTAGCGAGAACAAATTTCTGCTTAAGCTTTGTCTCTTCAATTACGTTGTAAAATCGCGAAATCACATAGAGTTCGATATTTGATAATTACTATAAATTTAAATTATTCACACGCTTAGCTGATGCGCAGCTGGTTTGATGTGTCTTCGTTCTCCTTGTCGATCACATCTTGGAGAAGAAAATAAAAAAAGAACATGAGGAAAATAAAAGAAAGGATCGTCAATTTCAGCGAAGATTATTAATTTTTGAGTTTCCAGGCTGAACGAAAAATCCAGGAAGAACGGTCACGGATGTAATTGTGAAAATTAGGACGAAATATGAAACATAATAAGAAGATCACGAACGACACAAGGTCAATTAATAAAGAAATTCATTGATTTAGTTCTAATTTAATGTTTCTCGTGTTCTGTGAACATTGACTTCATCACCACGTTAGAAAAGGAGGAAGATTGATTTAGAATTTAGAGGAGAGGAAAGAGACAAGTCATCGTGGCATGATCAAATCAATAAAGTTAATTAGATGAATAATTAATAACAATTAAAAATGGCTCGATTCCAACATTATTTTGTTCTGTCTCGTTCTTTTTCTTTTTCTTCTTTTTTTTTTTCATTTGACTCTTTCCATAGACTTGGACATTACTCGAAAATATATATACCAAGACACATGCTACACACACATTTTGCAGAGTGTAGAGAAGTAACAAGATGAGGGGAGGAGCCCGTGTAAAATACTGAAAGTTTATATATATAAATACTTACATATACATATACCAATAGATGTGTACACATAACACGTGCGTGCAATTGAGCCACGTGTATGTGTATACATGCAAGTATGCAGATTAATTTTTAACGATATAGCAGTTAACGACATCGCTCCGTTGTTGTAAAGAAAGAAAGAAAGAAAGCAAGAGAGAGAGAGAGAGAGAGAGAGAAATGGAAGGAAGAAAAAGGATTTGAGCGAAGAGAAAGGGAAGCGGAGAGGAAAGAGAGTGTGAATAATCGAAAGACTCTCCAAGAACGGCTCGTCGTTTGCCTGACATTTTCATCACCGTTACCACTACTGCAGAGACCACGACAGTTTTTCGTTCTTTTCTTTGTCTCCTTATTACTACTATCATCATGTCATACCGTTTCGAATCATCTAGTAAATAAATTGTAATAATTGTGTAAAGAAACAAAAATTAATAAAGTAATTTAATATGTATATATATGCATATATGTGTGCGTGCGTGTGTGTGGTGTGCATATGTATATACGTGCGAAAGAAAGAAAGAAAGAAAGAAAGAGTGAGAGAGAGGGAATGAGAGAGAAAGAGAAAACACAAAAGTAAATCGCAAGAGGGATATACGTATATTTAATCGAGATTCAAGCGATGGCTTTCTCGTCGTTAATCGAAGCCACGAATCGATTATTTTGCGTCCGACTCGATGCTTCGAACGATGCATGAACGTGGATATAAATATATGATATTCCTATCGAGCGTCTTTGTGCAACAGAAACAACAAAAAAAAAAAAGAAAAAAAAATGATTATCCCCTCATCCACGAGGAATCAGAATTCCTCTGATTCACGTGTTGAGAATCACCGATGCTTGGAATTAGAGATTCACGTCGTGGACCATCCACGATGCTATCCAGTAGCTACCTTCTATTTGCAAACGAAAGTTACTTCTTTTTTTTCCGTTTGCTCCACGGAAATTCCGAGATGGACCATTGATCGTTCGTACCATCCACGAGAAACGAGAAAAAGAAAAAAAGTGTTTTGAACAACCGTGGCTAAAGTAGTATATAGTTAAGCACTATATATGTTCGATATATTGTACGCTTGATGAACAGCAAACGCTTGAATTTACGATGAATTGTAGTTTATTGTTACGATCAATTCCGATTTTCTCTGTACCATTTCGTTCTGAGTCTTCGTATCGTGTACGACGAGGGAAAGTAAAAAAAAAAAAAAAAAAAACTCTGTAATGTGTAAGTTCGTTTCGCTGCGGAGTACACATTATCACGATAGTTTTAAGGACAAGTATGTTTTTTTAAATTATAATGGTGATTAATTTAATACGAAATTCGTCAGTGAATAAACGAATTACACGTTTGCTTCCGTTTTCGATTGGCTGGAGTGAGTCGAAGACAATGAAATAATTGTATTCCTTTTTTTTTCTTTTTGTTTGTTTTTTTTTCACGTAATCTCCTTTCGTCACGTATGTAAAATTTGAACGAACGACGCAATAAAAATTTCGTATTAAACTTCACGTGTTATACAGGCTCAGTATATCAGTGCTTTTTGTAATCCTGGGAAAACTAATCTCATCTGTTTGTCGTACAACACCATTCTTTCGTCGTGACTAATTGACAGGTCGAATTAAAATAGAAGACAGATGTTAGACGTAACTCACGATTATTAACGGTCTCACCACGACAGGTTCGATCATTTCATTCGAATTCATTTAGGAGTAGAATAGAACCTCTCACATTCAAACAAATGGAGATATGATATAAATATTATACATATATTGAAATATCTTAGTTTTTTTTTTTTTTTTTGCATGAATATAAGAACATTTTTGTTGAGTTTTCTGAACCATCTTCTTCGTGTGCTATTTGTAAAAAAAATTCGTCCCTCATAAACGAAATATATTATAATCTCTTTTATATCGCTTTCTTCTAAAATCTTGCATTTCATATTTTAGCACGTTCTTTTCACAAAATGACATGTGAATACTCGGTGAACGAGGATACTCGAATATGAGAGGTTCTACTGTAGGTAGATTCTTTATTAGCAGAAATTTTCGATAAATGCAATTAATTGAAAGAAAATATATGGGTCAGCCAATTTACTGGATTTCAAAATTTGCGTTCAATTTCTTGTCGCCAGAACAACAAACGTCTAAGCTGCATTACGCTGTAGCTAGTTGAATAGCCTATCGTAAGTGGCCAGAGTTTATAGTTCATTCTGAATGGAGTGACGAATTTTAAACGTTGCACCTTCTCTGGTCCATTTTCGAAAGTAGCGTGACGAGTCACCATCTTGTGCATTCCTGATTCGTTGTAGCAGTACTAGTTAACTAGTTTTCCGATCTCAATCACGAACAGTCGTGCATGTACATAAGGATGAAACTGAACAGTCCCCTTTTTACGTCGTTTAACTCTCAATTGGTATCATTGGGGCATCGGCGACCAACAACAGTTTCAATCGAGTTATTTAATTATAAAGCACTTTATTTCTGTTACATATTTTATGTGACGCTTGTTGCGTAATGTGTGGAATATAAATTAATTTTTTATAGATTATCGATCGATTTATTTTCACAAGTTCGTATTTTTTTACATTACAAAATATTTAAATATATAATTACAA